GGCGGTTCAGAGTTGGCCCAGACCGTCCTCAGCCACAGAGATTCACAGCTTTCTTGGTTTGGCGGGTTATTAATGTCAGTTTGTTCAGGGATTTTCATCTATAGAATCACCCTTGACCAAGTTGACTCAAAAGGGTGCTCTATTCAGGTGGTCGTATGAGTGTGAGGAGAGCTTTCAGAAGCTCAAGACTGCATTGACCACAGCTCCAGTGTTAGTTTTGTCATCAGCTTTAGGTTCATATACCGTGTATTGTGATGCTTTGAGAGTTGGTATTGGGTGTGTGTTGATGCAGGATGGTAGAGTTATTGCTTATGCTTCTCGTCAATTGAAGCCCCATGAGAAGAACTATCCTTTTCATGATTTGGAGTTGGTTGCCATTGTTCACGCATTGAAGATCTTGAGACATTATTTGTATGGTGTGTCTTGTGAGGTGTTTACTGATCATCGTAGCCTCCAGCACTTGTTCAAGTAGAAGGATCTCAATTTGAGACAGCGGAGATGGTTGGAGCTGCTTAAGGACTATGATATTACTATCTTGTACCATCCGGGAAAGGCCAATGTGGTGGTCGATGCCTTGAGTAGGAAGGCGGTGAGTGTGGGGAGTTTGGCGTATATTCCTATTGGGGAGAGACCTTTTGTAGTTGATGTTCAGGCCTTAGCCAATCGGTTTGTGAGGTTAGATATTTCGGAGCCCAGTTGGGTATTGGCTTTTGTGATTTCTCGGTCTTCCTTATTTGATCGCATCAGAGAGCGCCAGTATGATAATCCTCATTTGCTTGTCCTTAAAGATAGAGTTCAGCACGACGATGCCAGAGATGTGACTATTGGTGATGATGGGGTATTGAGGATGCAGGGCCGGATATGCATGCCCAATGTAGATGGACTTCGGGAATTGATTCTAGAGGAGGCTCATAGCTCACGGTATTCTATTCATCCGGGTGCTGCGAAGATGTATCAGGATCTGAGACAACATTATTGGTGGAGGATAATGAAGAAGGACATTGTAGGATTTGTAGCTCGGTGTCTCAATTGTCAACAGGTGAAATATGAGCATCGGAGACCGGGTGGCTTGCTTCAGCAGATGGATATTCCAGAGTGGAAGTGGGAGCGGATCACCATGGACTTTGTAGTTGGGCTCCCACGGACTTTGAGGAAGTTCGATGCTATCTGGGTGATTGTGGATCGGTTGACCAAATCCATGCACTTCATTCCTGTGTGTACTACCTATTCTTAAGAGCGGTTGGCAGATATATATATCCGGGAGATTGTTCGTTTGCATGGTGTCCCAGTTTCCATCATTTTAGATAGAGGTACTTAGTTTACTTCACAGTTTTGGAGGTCTGGACAGCGAGAGTTGGGTACTCAGGTTGAGTTGAGCACCACTTTTCACCCTCAGATGGACGGGCAGTCCGAGCGCACTATTCAGATATTGGAGGACATGTTGCGCATTTGTGTCATTGATTTTGGAGGGTCATAGGATCAGTTCTACTGCTCACAGAGTTTGCTTATAACAATAGTTATCAGTTGAGTATTCAGATGGCTCCATATGAGGCTTTGTATGGGAGACGATGTAGATCTCCGGTTGGTTGGTTTTAGCTGGGTGAGGCTAGGCTACTCGGTACAGACTTGGTGTACGATGCTTTAGACAAGGTGAAGGTGATTCAGGAGAGGCTTCGTACAACGCAGTCGAGACAAAAGAGTTATGCTGACAGAAAGGTTCGGAAAGTGTCCTACATGGTTGATGAGAAGGTTCAGTTGAAGGTTTTGCCCATGAAAGGTGTTATGAGATTTGGGAAGAAGGGTAAATTGAGTCCTCGGTGCATTGGCCTTTTGAGGTGCTTCGAAGGATTGGAAAGGTGGCTTATGAGCTTGCTTTGCCACCTAGCTTGTCGAGTGTGCATATGGTATTTCATGTTTCTATGCTCTGGAAGTATATTGGTGATCCGTCTCATGTTTTGGATTTTAGCACGGTTCAATTAGATGATGATTTGACTTATGATGTGGAGCCAGTAGCTATTTTGGAGCATTAGGTTTGAAAGTTGAGATCAAAGAATATAGTTTCAGTGAAAGTGCAGTGGAGATATCGGCCCGTAGAGGAGGCTACCTGGGAGACCGAACTGGAGATGTGGAGCAGATATCCTTACCTATTTGAGGCTTCAGGTATGTTTCTTGACCCATTCTAGGACGAACGTTTGTTTAAGAGGGGCAGGATGCAACGACCCGACCGGTCGTTTCATAAGTTACCGCTTTGTTTCTCCTATTTCTGCTTCTTATTGTCTTGTTCAGCTGTATTAGGTGATATCAGGTTGGTTGGTTCGGGTTCAGACAGGTTTTGGAAAGGAATGAGACACTTAGTCTCTTTTGAGTAAGCTTAGGTTGAAAAAGTCAACCGAATGTTGACTTCTGTGAAAAAGGGCTCGGATGTGAATTCCGATGATTCATATAACTTAGGGAGATGATTTGGGACTTAGGAGCGTGATCGGAATATATTTTGGAGGTCTGGAGTAGGTTTAGACTTGAATTGGCAAAATTGGAATTTTGGCGTTTTCCGGTTGATAGGTGAGATTTTGATATAGGGGTCGGAATGAAATTCCGAAAGTTGAAGTAGGTCTGCTGTGTCATTTGTGACGTGTGTGCAAAATTTCAGGTCATTCGAACGAGATTTGATAGATTTTTTGATCGAAAGCGGATTTTGTGCTTCGCGAATGCGAGGCATTGACCGTGTTCCCGAAGAAGGAATTTGAATCGCTGGGCAGAATGTTTAAAAGACCACTTTCGCGATTTAGGCCATAGTTCACCATTTTTGACTCGATTTTGGAGCTTCTTGAGGAAAATTGAAGAGGGAATCAAAGGGAAACACTTGGAGGTAAGATTTACGGACTTAATATTCGATCCTATTGTGATTTATACCTAATTAAATATGACATTTGTGGAATCTAAAGCCTAAAATTGGAAGTTAGGGCTTGAAAATTGGAGAACTAAATCTAGAAATTTGAGGGGTCATTTATGGTCGGATTTTGGTATTCTTGGTATGTATGAACTCGTAAGAGTGTAAGGATTCTAGTATTGTGATTTTTGTCAGAATCCGAAACGTGGGCCCGGGGGTCGGGTTTGGCCAATTTCGGGATTTTTGATGTAAATGGGTTATTTTTGAGTGGACTTTGTTCCCTTAGCATATTTTTGATGGTATGAATCTGTTTTGGTTAGATTTGGAGCATCCGAAGGCCGATTCGAGGGGCAAAGGCATCGCGGGATAGAGTTTGGACCGGATAGAGGTAAGCAATGATTGTAAATGCTGTCCTGAGGGTATGAAACCTCATATTTCACATTGTTGTGCTACTTTGAGGTGACGCACACGCTAGATGACGAGCGAGGGGTTGTGCACTGTTGGGGATTGTGACTTAGTCCGCCCTGTATGACTGTTAAACTGCGTATTTGATTGAAAACCGTTTGCTATCATTGTGTTTTTGAAAGTATCGTCATGTTTTGGGCTGAATGCCATATTTGGGTCTCGTGCCAACTATTTTGGAACCTTAGGATATTTTTACTACTATTCCTTACTGTTTTGACTTCATATTTGTACTCAGTCATGTTGTATTCTACTGTTTTCATAACTCAACCATATTTACTCCGTTTTGACATTTTAAATGATATTTTGGGCTGAACATCATGTTTTACTGTGCCCGAGTGGCTTGAGAAATTTCTGACTGAGTGAGGCCGAGGGCTTGTATTGTAAGGATATTATGGGATCGGGCTGCGCGCCGCAGCAGTGTTGTACCGATTCATGATTATGAGGCCGAGGGCCAGATTAATTATGCCACGAGATGGATTGATATAGCGCTTGAGCTGTAGGAGCCTCTCCAGAGTCTGCACACCTCTAGTGAGTGCGGGTACCCAGTGTGAGATGTGATATTGCCCGAGGGGCCGTTGTTGTTTCATGTTGTTGCCGGAGGGGCTGATACGAGTGATTGTGAGGTAGCCTGAGGGGCTGGATCTGTTGGTATTTTGCCCGAGGAGCTGATTTATGTTTCTATCCTTTTCTCTACATTTTCATCACTTGTTTGAACTACTGAAGGATGTTTTAAAGAGGTTTTTATTGAACTAAAGTGTTTTTACGAGCTTTTACTCTTTTACTGCATTGTTCTGATTTTATACTATTTTGTTGTAGCATTATGTTGTGTCTAACGTGTTTTCTTATCGCTCAGCTGCCTTTACTTTTATTACTTACTAAGTTGGTGTACTCACATTACTCCGTGCACCCTGTGTGCAGATCCAGGAGTCTCGGGTCACGCTAGCAAGTGCTGATTTGCTTTCCAGCAGGCTTGTTAGGAGTTGACTAGGTAGCTACTCGGTGTTCGCAGCCCAGCGCTTCTCCTTCCTATCTTTATTTCACTTTGTACTAGCTTTGTATCACACTACATTGTCTTTTCATACTCTTCGAAGAATTGTAGATGCTCATGACTGGTGACACCCCGATGTCGGGCTGTGTTTGTGTCCGCATTGTTCTATTGTACTCTATATTTTAGGATTTTTAGCTTATTAATGACTCTAAATGACTTATAACTATTTATTTTATTTGGGGGTTTGTGTCGGTTGGCCTAGTTTCACGATAGATGCCATCACGACCGGGTCCGTTTTATGATCGTGACAAAATGATACCAACTGTCGCGTATTATCAAGATGTGAAGGTGTTGATTCAATTGTTTATAAAGGTTGTGCTACACCTTATGAAGTAGATGCTGGCTGAACTGACTTTTGCAAGTTCTGGTAACGCTTGGCCCTTGGCATATCTGGAATCAATAAAATAAACTGCGTGAAACTATATACCAGAATAATGAAAGATTGAACAATCTAATTACAAATTTTTTTGTACAAGAGTCATACAATCACCATATTAGTTGCTCTATAGAGAGCAATGAGATTTGCAATTAAGCACTTTTGAAGTACCTAATTAATAGAATCATGTAGAATTAGTGCTACGACGAAACAATCAAATAATCTAGTTACTTGCAATCTCGATCATACCTTGCAATAGTTTCTATACTATAACGTTTTAAACTTGAAGAAACTAAGAGCTTGCCACAAATGTAGAAAATTAACATCCAGTACTTAGAAAATTATCTTTATCACTAATATAAAATAGCCTAATTCCTAGTGAGACATATGCTCCTCTATTGCAACTTGGATATTCTCATAATTAACATCAAAAAATTGTTCCAATTCTTGTTGTTGGTATGGCTCATTCTCGTAATTTCTTCTTCATCAACATCTCCTATGTCAAACAAATCTCTTGGCTTTAGATGCATAGCAACACTCCATTCTTTATCAGTTTCATCATCAACATAGTAGACCATATTTGCTTGAGACGCTTCAATATAAGGATCATGGTCCTTACGATTACCCGTGTGAATCAATCTAGAAAAATTAACACAATTAAATTTCCAAACATCTATTTTGAACCATTCATCTCGAGTAGTGTCAGCCCATTGGCATTTGAAGAGAACAATTATAAACCATCCATAATAATTGAGCTTAATTATGTCTTCAAACTTCCCATAATATGGCAACTCTGCTTGTGTTGCATTTTTATCAGCATTAGATGCAATACAAGAGGTGTTACAGGTAAGAAAAACTCTACTGTTTTGAGTTTTCAATCCTTGTTCTCTAGATACAGTCCGAAACTTGAATCCATTAATGTTATATGCAGTAAACCTTCTTGCATCTGGCATTGGACATTGTGCTAAGAACTCCAAATCAGTAGATATTGTATTTGATATATCTGGATTCATGATCTGCACAAACAAAATTATTTCTATTAAATAATCTAAATTAATACAACTTATACATAAACAGATATTAGCAATACTATTCACTCACTCGTTTTGGAAACCAATCAGGAAACGCTTTATTAACTCTTCTCTCTACCTCTGTTATAGAAGGTCTTCGACCTCTTGAATTCCTTTTAATGTAGTTCCTAAATTCACTACAGAGGAACCATCTATATTAATTTAATCATTTCACTTTAAAAATTTTACTAAAAAATAAATTACAATAAACTTTCTTACTCAATAAATAGTTTTACTGCTGCGCAATTAAGTAACACGTATCTATGAGCTTGAATCTTCTCCAAAGGAGACAACGGAAATATTGTGGAGCCTCCAATAGGTTTACCTTGTTGAGGGAACAAAGATGATACTTCAGAAGCCTTATTATGATTTAGCTCATCGTTTACATGTTAGGCCTATTTATCCTTGACTCGATACCCTCAAAATAATGAGAACAGAGAGTCAGAGCTTCTTCAACAATATAACCTTCAGCAATAGAACCTTCTGGTTGTGCTTTGTTCCCTACAAGAGACTTGAAATGACCTAACAAACTATAATGAAAATGAAATAATATTAGAACAAGCATTCAATTTGAATTAATATTAAAAGTTTGATCTAAAGAATGTTATGAAATAACAAATTTTTACCTTTCAACAAAATGCATCCATTGATAATGTACTGGACCACCTTGTATCACTTCATCTACTAGATTAATAGTTAAATGAACCATGGCAGTGAAGAAAAATGGAGTGAACAAAATCTCTAAGTGACAAAGTGTGAGTACAATCCGATCTTGTAGCTTCTCTAGGGCAGATAGGCTCAAACTTTTCAAACAAAGATTTTTAAAAAAGGAAGAAAACTCTACCAAGACTGCAACAACCTCATTCGGAAGCACATTTCGAATTGCAACAGGCAATAATTGTTCCATGATGATGTAAAAATCATGACTTTTTAATCCGAAGATCCTCTTCTGATCCAGGTCAATACAATCAGAGATATTACTTGAGTAACCATCCGGCATCGAAATATTCTTTAATATTTTAAGGAAGGTGACTCTCTTCTCTTTTGGAATTGCAAATGCAGCAAGGCGACAATTCTCTTTCTTATCTGGCCAAAGATCACGCATTATATAATATTGTCAAACATATTCTTCTCGATGTGCATGACGTCCAAATTATGGCATAACGAGTTGAATTCCCAATATGGAAGATTGAAGAATATGCTTTTTTTTCCTCCACTACTGGGTTGCACCTTCCCCATTTTTTCTTTGTTTATTTCTTTCTTTCTAGCATTCAACTCTACTGTTCTTCCAAATGTAACAAAGATTTCTTTCACTTGTTGCAAAATGTCTGATTCTGATAACTTCCTCGGCAAATTCCTCTCCTCCACATCTCCAAAAAAACGATGCCTCATCAATCTAAATTTGTGATTTCTTGCCAAAAATTGACGATGACCAATAAAGCAACATTTTCTACTATGAGGAAGTCGACAAGGTTCTTAGTCAAAATTACAAGAGGGGCATGCAAAATTAGTATGTGATAAGATATCAAGACCAGGAAAATCACTGACTGTCCACATAAGAGCTACTCACATTCTAAATATTTCATTCTTCGATGAATCACAAGTTTCCACACCACAACTCATTCAACTCCTTAATAAGGGGTTGTAAGTATACATCTATATTATTACTCGTCGTACGCAGACCCGGAATGATCATTGAGAGGATAAAATTTGGTTGCTTCACGCACAACCAAGGTGAAAGATTATATGGAACCAAAACCACTGGCCAAATGTTATAATTAGTACTCATCGTTCCAAAAGGATTGAAACCATCACTAGCTAGGCCTAATCGAACATTTCGGGGATCAGAAGAAAATTCAGAATATATTGTATCAAACCTCTTCCATGCCTCACCATCTCTAGGATGCCTCATTATTCTATCATTGTTACTATGCTCCACATGCCATCTCATATGCTCTGCAGTCTTAGAACACATGAATAGTCTTTGCAACCTTGATTTTAGTGGAAAGTAACGCAAAATTTTTGCAGGCTTTTTTTTCTTCTTCTTACTTGTAGCAGGCACGCGATTTCTGTTGCCCCTCTCATTAGACTTCCATCTAGAAATGTGACAATACTTGCATGTTTCTTCATTAGCATCATCTCCCCAGTACAACATGCAGTCATTTGGACAAGCATCTATCTTTATATAATCAAGACAAAGTTTTTTGATGGTTTTCTTGGCCTTATAAAAAGAATCAGGGATACTTGCAAATTTAAATGCATCTCTGAATAGATCTAGTATCATAGTCATTCCCTTGTCACTTAGCCCAGACAAACTCTTTATATGATACAACTTTAACAAAAACTCTACCTTTGAGTACTTGGAACCTTCATACAATTCTTGACTTTCATCTCTAAGCAACTCAAAAAAGTCTTTACTATTTGAAGCAGACATATCATTTAATACTTCTTTTCTCCCTGCTTGTGATGAACCTACATCAATACCCTCATGTCTTAAGCCCTGAAATGCTTCATTAATCAATAAGTCCACTCGATTTTCGGGAAGTAGTGTATCTTGAGTGACATCTATGTTATTAAAGTTCTGCAACACATTTATTTCACCATGAAAAAACCCAAGTGACATAATCTTGAGGGAATGGCTTGCAGATTAAATGATCGAACACAATCTCTCTAGTCAACCTCGTTACAAAATCACATATAGGACATGGACATTTTATTCTATCTTCTATAGCTCCATTTTTAAATGCAAAATCTAAAAATTGATTCAAACCAAACAAATATTTATTTGTGCTCCTTGGCAATCGAATCCAAGATTTATCCATTTAAAGTATTTGAAAAGATCTGAAACCTTTGAGAAGTGCAGCTAATGACCCAAAATCAGGTTAGTATGCCACCAGTAAGGACTCTTCTAATCAGGAGAGTTTGATATAACCTACAAGATTTTTACGAGGAAAAATAATTTAGTAACCAGTCAATTTTATAGGATCAGAGACATACTTTACAATTTTATAAGCTAAATAAAAGGAAATGTAAAGTTAGCTAATTATCTAGCATGAACAACAATGAGAACATATTCAGATGAATATATACTACTAAACTAAGAGTACTGTAGAAAATATCAATGTGTTTCTTGGCTAGCTATAAGTAAGGTTCAGTGTGGGAAGTTTATTTGAGTCTTTATTGTCACACTGTCATTGTCATCATAATTTCTTTGGTTCTGGAAAGGTGAAAATGCCTTCTGCTTCCAGTGTTACTGGATGCTTAGTGTACTTATGCTTAATTGCTCATACAAAGTGTCCTAAGTTCAATTACGTTTATCTAACGGATACAGTTGAATCTTTATTTTCTTGAACATTTCTGAAGCATCATAGTTCCACTATTTTTGGAAAAGAAAAACTACATATTGTATTTATATGCTATCCGTGTCACAAGTTAAATACAACTGTCCAACAGATGTATTTGATGGTGGCAAACTACAAATCGCAGAAAAATAAAACTGCTCTTTCGAAAACATCATATGCTACCGGTGCATAAAAAGCAAATCTAATGAATTCCCTCTGGCTAATCGTTACATGCACCGCACATTAAGCAACAAAAAAACCAGTTGTAGCAGCTGCATTTATAGTTGAACTTTGATGTAGTACAAAGATCACAATGCTAGTATTTGACATTTTGGAGACGTTTTTTCCTATTTTGTCTTGGCCATAAGTTTATTGCAATGAATCTTAACTATAAACGTTTGGAAAGGTAATTGAAGGATTTGGTGTGTCCAAAGTTTTAGACTCAGATAATCCAGACTTTAAGCCAGGTGATATAATCTCAGGATTCACTGGTTGGGAAGAGTACAGCTTAATTTACAAAATCGAGCAGCTGAGAAAAATTCAGGCTGATGATATACCTCTCATGTATCATGTCGGTCTTCTCGGTATGATTAATTTGGCCAAATCTGAACTGTTTTGCCATTCTTTTATGGACTAATTTAAGGTTTGAAATCTGTTTTAAAAGGTTGAGAATGAGTATTGCCCTAATTCTTCTTTAATGTTCTTGAAAACCTGGATATTCGCAATGTTACTAAAGGCACAGATTTGTATATCTCTGCTCCATTTGGTACTCCACAATTGAGATTATTTAGCTTCTACCTCCGTACTGGAGAATTTAACTCGTAATAGTGAAAAGAGGTCTCACTGATCCTGGTTATTTGGAAAAGATATTGTTTATTGGAGGCATTGGGAAGGAAAAGATTTTTAAATCCTGGAATAATTTATGTTTCCATCAATTATACCTTCAGGTGACAAACAAAACTAAGGGAATACAACAACTGACAAAATTAGGATACATTTTTAATTTTGAGATTCAGCATTCAAAAAAAGCTGCACAAAATAAACGAATCTACGGATTGATTCTATATGATTCCTTTCGATCAATCCATAACAATTTTATAATACTAGCAACAAGAGTTGTACCATAGCATCGCGAGCAAAGTAGAAATATTTTATCAAAATACTTAATACATTTTGATTGTGGTAAACCTTTTCTGCTACCACTTTTACTCGACATAAATTTATCCTTACTACTATATAAATTTCAATACAAAAAAGTTCAAATATGAACCAATAAGCTTCTCAACAAATATTAAACAACTTATGCTTTCAAGTGTTACATGTCAAAATGAGACAAGCAAAATCAAAGTCACAGAGCAAGTACCACAAATGAACAAGAAACTGATTGCATTTTGTTAGAGCCTATATTGAAAGTAATACAAAGTATTATCACCGTACAATGAACTAGTATTGACTTCCTCAAAGTCGTGAGACAATATCAAAGGCAGAATCAAATATGGATCTCATTTGTTTTTTTATTGGATGACGAAATAAAGAAGAAAATTTGCTACTGCAAGTTGTGAAAGAAGCAAAGTAAGCTTAACTAAGCTACGTGGAAGATGTGAAGGCTTTACATCTGCAAATTGAGGTAATGCTGTTTAGAAGGAAATATTTATCAGTATCTTGATATAGTCAATCTTGGTGTCTTGGGTTGTTCTGTTAATCATTTTGTCTCATTTTCAACATCATGAGATAAGCAGAGAAGTGGTTGTATTAGGGAAATTATTTAGCTTCTACTTAGTGGTGCTCTAATGCTATATGGTGCACCTAGTCTTCTTATGGAAAGATTGAAGGGAAAAATGTATTTTATTGGTTTCAAAACCACAAAGCTACAGATAGACAGAAGCTTAAGAAAAACCTCCTTGCCCAAATTAACCAACAACAAATTTTTTCTCAATATCCTGTTGATGCTCATAGTACAACCACCACAAGCACCAATACAAACAACCCTTTTCACTGCCCTACTGATCACTACTCTCATAATTCTTCATCTGTTGTGAACCAAATATGCCCTATTATATCTACTGAACTTGTTCAAGAGGTATAGATATACACAAATGCAGCTCAAAACCTCACTTACTAATTCAGAGGTGGCCTCGTCGAACAGTTCAAATACAGATATTCTTTGCATTTAAATGAAATATATAACAATTTGAATCATAAATAAACATCAATTAGCCAGTTACTACTAAAACACAACAATAACAATATGAGAACAACGATTCAATCTTTATACTTTCTTTTCCAATCATTTAATGAGTTTAGAAGATAAACTATCAAAATACAAATGTATTTTTCTGTGTTCATTCTGCTCTATTTAGGCACATTTTACTCCACTAACTGAAACACTGATGCCAACCTACAGATAACACTTTACATTCAAATAAAATGCTATAACAAACCTAACAATTTGATCAATCATACAACAACAACAATTACTACCAAAACCCAACAATAACAAGAACAAACACCTAACAATTTCAAATCATAGATTGAGTTCAGACGTTAAACCATCAAATATAAACAAATACACAAAAAACCCTCTAATTCGTTCAACAACTTCATACAAACAGAGGGAAAATTATATAAGCCGAATTGTCTACTTCTTCTTAGTAGCTTTCTTCTTCTTAGTTCATCCTATCAGAAATAAGATGACTGCCCAATAATATTATAATTACTGGAGTTTTGAAGTTGAGGAAAAAACTTTCTTCTTCTTCTATAACAAAAAAGGAAATCACATGCAAAAATTATTGAAATTGGAGCAGAGAAACCTAAATTAAATCATATGCAGAAACTACTGAAATTCAGATATTAGGAAAACATAATCAAAACCCTAGAGGAATTAAAATCGGATATAAACAGATTAGGAAGGAGAGGGTAGAGAACTCCAATTTGAGTTGTACCTTTTGTCTGGAGATTCGGCGACAAACACGCTTCAATTTGAGTTGTAATTGCTGAAATCCACATTAAAATCGCACAAATATCAAACTTAGAGGAATTAAAATCAGATATCAACTATTTTCGCAATGCAGAGACTGATTTCGCGCAACTATTTTCACAATGCACAAATATTTCGCACAAATATTTTCGCAATCAGATATCACATAAATCGCAACTTAGAGTGAACCCTAAATCGTTAGAGTGAAAGACAATGAGAGATTAAAGAGAGAAAGAGAACTTGCCATTTCAGGAGGAGAAAGAATCTGGAAAGCGAATCCTAAATCGTTAGAGTGAAAGACAATGAGAGATTAAAGAGAGAAAGAGAACTTGCCATTTCAGGAGGAGAAAGAATCTGGAAAGCGAATCCTAAATCGTTAGAGTGAAAGACAATGAGAGATTAAAGAGAGAAAGAGAACTTGCCATTTCAGGAGGAGAAAGAATCTGGAAAGCGAATCCTAAATCGTTAGAGTGAAGAGCGGAGATTTCTATTGTTAGCGGAAATTTTTGGAAAAAAAAAGGGAAAGATAAAAATAAAGGCTAGCGGAGATTTTTATTGTTAGCGCATTTTTTCTAAGGCTAGCAGAGGTTTCTAAACGCTGCAAATTGAATTTCAGTGCGGAGGTTAATAAGACCCCCCTAATTATATACAATTTGGGGAGGTTAATAATAACCCCCATAATAAAACCGCTGCAAATAAACTATTTTTTTTGTAGTGATGGTGCAACTTGAGCTAACCGAGGACATGACCCTTGATAAGAGGGTGTGGAGGTTGAGAATTAGGGTAGAATGCTAGTAGGTAGTCGAGTGTTTCCCTTTGTGTTCCTTAGTTCAATAGTATTAGTGTTAGTATAGTATCCCTTTTATCTTTTGCTTGCTATTACCACATATCTTGTATTGTTATTACATGCCATCAGCACTCCCTTAGTTTGCTATCAATGCATTCGCGTACTGTTATTACTTGCTATTAATACTTCTTTCGTATTCTCTTTTGATATCTTAGATTTAGTTTTCTAAATATCTTGTATTGCTATTTCTTGCCATCAGTGCTTCTTCCATCCTTTCTTTAGTCGAGGGTCTATCGGAAACAGTCTATCTGCCCTTCTAGGATAGCGGTAAGGATGCATATATCCTATCCTCACCAAACCCTACTTGTGAGATTACATTGGGTTGTTGTGTTGTTGTTTTTCATATAATTTTTTATCGTTTGATTATGAATAAAACATTTATTTCGTACATGAAGCTAAATAAATATATAATGAACATGGAACTTTACTCCTTATCCTTGCAAACCTAGTGACAACTTGTTCTCGAGAAAATTACAAAAGTATTAGAATATAATGAAAGATTGCGTATAGGTGTTCGTAACACGTAACGGAAGACAATAACAATGCTAGGCAGATCTTTTCGTGTTTAAAATTTATTTACATGTCAAAGATCGGATCTAAGACGTACCTGGTGAAGAGAGTCTCGTTTCAAAAAAATTTCTTTAGTGCGAAGACTCTATGCATATCCATACCGAGACCGATCCTTGCTATCAACTCTTTGATCAATGAAACCCGCGAACAAATTGAACGAAAAACTTGTTCCAAAATTTTTCTCAAAAAATCTCAACTAAAATTAGAAGAACAAGAAACACTTTTCTTGTAATTGTATTTTCTCTCTTGGCTTGTGTTGCACTCTCACTTTCACAAAGTATTTTTTCTTCTCAAGAATTAATACAATAAATTTTCTCCATCACCCTTTATATAGCATCACCTACAAACCCTTTTCCTATTGGGTTGAGGTAATGATTTACTTAAGCTAAAAATTTATTCCAAAAATAAATTTTATGGAATATTGCGTGGAAAATTCGTAATCCCATTCTCAATGGGTTTTTCCGTGGCCGCCGATCATAGACTTTCTATGACGTCCAATTCCAAGTATTGGAATTTTCCTATAAAAACATGAAAACCAAAGTTTAGTTGTGACTTTTACTTCATGTCCCAATGAAACCATGGAAATCCCTTTATGGAATTTTATGTCCAATTTAAAATTGGATTGTAAGAATAAATTAATATTAAATATATAACTTTTATATATAAATATCAATTACTAGTACTAAATATATATATTACATATATATATTTCAACCAAGAGATAATTTAATTTTCTATTTCAAATAGAAAACTTTAATTTGTTCATAATATTAATTATATCTTTTGTGCTAGCAGAGAATATAATAATATTTCATTTGGACTAATAACTAAATTTATTTGACTAATTAAATTCTTTAATTTAATTATCAAATAATAAAGTAATTAATCCTTTAGCAAAGATCAGAACACTCGTTAGTGTGCGACCCCATAGGTTCAATACTAAACCGGTAGTAAATTGATCACATTAATATACTAATCAAGGGTGGCGTCTAGCAACATTCCTTAACGACCGGATAGAATGAAGTAAACAATTTACTCTCAAGAACCAGTAGAAGAATAATGTAGTAATTCCTTCTGTCCTTATAGCTCTGTATCACCCTAGGATATGATTAACTGTCAAATCCTAATAGGCGACCAACTATGTGTTCATGTCAAATATAATCGACCATTGAATGACCTAACAGACTCTTTTCTTCTTTCATTCAATTGCCCTGGCCAAGGTCTTAATTTGGTCGTTTATAATTCATGAATTAAACTCATTACCAAGAGTTGACAGATTCCATCTTGATTAATCACTAATTCTACAAGTATTTAATCGTACTCAATATCCTTTCAACTATCGCCCTAGGGCCATAGGTGTCTAGTATCAAAGCACAATAAATAACTTGTCAATTACTATGACGATCTCAGGTCAAAGGAAACTCTTACATCACATTCTTCAAGAGAATATTCTATTGACAGTTTATGGTAATTCTAACCATTAAGAATTATCCAATGAGTCGGTTCAATTATCATATCTTTATATGCATCATCTATCTATGTGATTTAATTAATGAGATCAACTAATCTTTATCCCATAAAGACAATCACATAAATATTAATCTAATCGGATTACTAATGTCCAAATTAATAATCCTACGATCAAGAACAAAATTTAGATTAAATTGTAAGAGACTTCACTCTCATTATCATGATCTCCATCACGATGACAAGTCTCAAAATTTAATCAAGGACCTTATCAAATAAATCAAACAATTAATAATAATGATAAAAAAATATCAAATGCCATATATATTTTATATCAAATAACGTTCACAAAAATATGTTCAAATCATCAAATATGATATTGGATCTAGGGCATATCTACTATATCCCTAACATATAATACTTGCGAATTTTCTAGGTATTATATCTTAAGTCGTTTGGACAACATCTGGACGTGTTCTGACTCTTCTGAGTAATCTTTTGAAAAAAATAAGTTTGTGCAAAATGATTTCGAGAAGATGTGTTTGTGAGATCTATTTTTCTTTCTTGAAATTTTGTGAGAGGAAAAAAAAACTTTTTACCCAAAACACCATCAATCCAATTCTAAGATAAATTTTTGATTTTTGTGTGCAAAAGCGTCTTGGAAAAAATTAACAAATACATTTTTCAAAAAGCTTCTGACAAGATTCCAAAGGCAAATGTTTGGACAAATTCGGAAAAAGTTTTTGAAAAATCTCTGCGTGTCTTACATGTGGAAGAAGAGTATTTTGAAATAATTCTTTGAAAATAATCTTCAACCCCAAAAAGAAATTCATGCAACTTCTTTTTTTGTAATATAATTTTCAAAAAACTTAGACAAACACCTAAAAAGAAGAATTTCAACAACTTGAAAAAGCTTAGACAAATTTATGTTTCTTTATAAATAAAAAAAGTTGCGTCTTAAAATGTAGAGTCTTCGGAAAATTCAAGGTCCTACATACCTTTGACGACGGAATTCGACATTCTTTTGGTTAGCTAAAAACAAAAAGGAGGATTATTAAACTTAATCTGAGAATCTCTATCAAAGTATTAGGTGAAATGTCAATGTCAAGTATACAACTACTTAAAGTGAAATCGGACGGCAGAACAATCTTTAGAATGGCTAAATTTAACGATCATCGCTTCTTCTTTTATTCTGTCTTTTTTGACTTCATGGAATTAACAAATTTTTCCATGAAATCTCTTTAAATCTTTTCGCTTTTATCTTTTAGGGCACTAATATCTGCATTATCACATATGATCACTCTATTTTAGTGCACCAACTAAACTATTTTTATAACAAAAATTCAATCAACTATGCCTAAGTCACTAAACTATTTTTGATTTGTAACAAAATAATCACCCAACTCTACTTAAGAATCACACAAAGTTGCTTAACCAATTTTTTTTTAAACCAAAAAGTAATTCAATTGTCTAAGTACGTATCAAATAAAATGTCTCTTTTATTCCCTTCTAATAACTTTTTATGATCTTAAGTAAAATGGAGTAACTCTTTTATACAAAGATAATTTAGTGTCTTTCGTGATATTTAAGTAAAATTGAGTTATTTTTCCATTACACAAAATAATTGAATAACTTCATTGCAATAAAATGAAACTTTCCATGAATTAAGTAGTGAACTGACTGTAAGAAAAATGAGTAGATAATATTGACTAAGAACAAGAAGGAAAGAAGAACAACTTATCAAAAATATTGTGTCGTGGCAAGCCATAGCCTTAAAAGCGATTTCGGCCCAACTAGGTGCAAATCGTTAAGGTCGGTCGCTCCCCAAGGTTCCACAGCACCTCCAAACATGTGCACTCGTGGCTGAAAGTTTAGAATTTGCACAAAACAGTTGCCAAGAAAGAAGAGAAGATGAAGGTATTTTCTGTAGTTGTTACAAAAATTAAAGAATGTTGTAGGAAGAAAAGTAATGATTAGCAAGATGAATTCTTGGTTAAGATTTAGTGATTATGATGGCTAATCCATAACCTATATATAGGCAATTAAGGAGGTTGCATGTATGACAAGCGTCCAAAGTCTTTTGACACTTGTCCCATTATATTAGTCCACTTGGCTCCAATATTAACAAGTGTA